TGTTGAATATGCATACCTTAATATATAGTGTTACCAACAATGAATTCATTAAGACAATAACTGATAATGAGTGCTTCATTTGAGTTGTAACTACACCTCATATTGCTCCCCTCTGTGCACACTGAGAAGTCCACATTCAATCTGAGTAAAAAAGAGTGAGTCCAGTCTTTTGGATGCTCGGCGAACATTCCTTCATCCTCCCTGTCTGAAGTCTCTAGATTAGTGGGCCTGGGGCAGAGGCTGTTCATCTGCCAATATGGCACCAGCCTGAGTGATGGGCATGTGGCGATGTCACTAATGATCAGACCATAATGATTCGCTGACAGGGGAGGAGAGCAATAGATTGTCACTGGGGGTTGAGTTAAAGAGGGGCCCTAATGATCTGCCTGCAAACACTGCCGGAGCACCTCCTATATCACTCCATCTCTTTACTATACCACTCATCAGGTTCCTCTCCAATGGAGGGAGCCACTGTGTTGTGTCTCAATGCCATCTCGCGACGCACTGTAAACATCTGTCACCTCCGTATCTATATTTCATGCTATTACCTTTTAGGCCTTGGGCTGCACGCTGTAAGCCTCGGGGTACTTGATTTCCGCCAGCATGAGCTTTCAGTGGAGGAAGGATCAAGTCGTAATCATGGTGCTGCATGGCGGTGTTTTAGCAGCGGGTGTCCTATATACCAACATCCCAAGTGGTTCCAATTCTGTAGCACTCAGCGAAATGAAGAATGCCTTATGACCTCTATTTTTATCAGATGCTCTGTTACCCCTGTCTCCCTCTTGTGTATCTACTGTAGTTCTTAACCTGCCATGAGAATACATCTGACAGGTTAAAATTTATGCAATGCATGTATTAAGAAAGTTTACAAAAAAGAAAACATTAAAGCCGCGTCCCTTTTTTCAGCATATTACATTCATTTGGAGCAGATGACTCCATTTGCTGACTCCAAATGCAACACTGTTTTTCTTAATGGTCTTCACAACAATTTACAAAAACTGAATATTTCTATGGAATACAGAGTTTCTGATATAAACTGTTGCTGTCAGTGTGATAAAATCTAAGTTTAATTCATTGTTTATTTGTTAGAGTTATTATATCAGAATTATTTAAAAAAAAAAGTTTTCAAGAAGATACAATCACTGATCAGTGAAATCCAAAGTAATATTGATAATATTTGTAATAAAGAGTCAATAAAAACAAATTGAAGCACAATAACAGTTGTGGACATTAACAAACTTCCCTCTGGTCACTGGGGACAGTACAACTCCTGCCAAAACGCTGTGTCTAGATGGAAGTGAATGGGAAATACTGTACACGAAAACAAGTCAGCAATGATTATACAATGAAATACTAGTTTTATGAGTATTTTATTTATTCATCTTCAAAATATGTTACATGTTTACCTTATGTTGAGTTAAACACTTTGCAATTGTCTATAAAAAAAATACTTTCTATTTGACGTTAACTTTTGACACGCGAGCATCAAAGTTTGGTCGTGTCCCATTTTACTTAATGGAGGAAGAGGCTGTAAAGATTAGAGTTGCTCTTTTGTTTATTGGTTATGATTCTTTTGTAAATAATTTAGGCTACATTCTGGGAGTTGACCCACACAAACTGAATTGTTAATGAAATGATCGGATTTGAGTAACAACTGAGTAAAAGTTACTTTAAGTAAGTCTTTGTTGTTTTACTTACATTTTTGCCGGTTATACTTTTTATCACCGGCAAATGAATTCTACATGTATAGTATACATCTTAAATCTTGAATGCTAACTATTCACATCAAGTAAATCTTATTATCGTATTATTATTATCTTATCAATTTCCAAGTCCTGGTTATTCTGAAATGAAATGAAATGAAATGTGCTGTACAGCTCAAGGCTACTGCCTGAATTTGCTTAATGAAAGCACATTTTTCTTTATTTACATATCTGGTGTAAAGGTAATCCAAAAGGAATGGAAAGTAATCAAGTTACATTACTTGAAAATTGTGATACTTGGATTAGATTTCTGACTACATTTATCAACAGGTGTATCAGATTACATTTTTAAAGTAATGGACATGAAAAACACATTTGTTGAAGCAATTAAGAAATGAAAAAGTAAATCTGGATGGGATCATTAAAGGGTTAACAACACATCCAACAGCAAGTGTATAATTGTTTATTTTGAATGTTTTACCATATTTCTTCTCAATCACAGATCTGTACTCTGGTCTTATCCATCACACTCCCACTGACAGACGGGTGGATTGAAACATAAGTGCTTCACATGATAACTCAGAGCAACATTTTCAAACACCACCAGCACTAGAGAACACTTTAACCCCATCAGTGTATTTAATTATGGTTGGACTTGATTCAACGCTCATCCTCTCAATATTATTTTATCTCATTTAAGGGAAAAAATGAAAGGTGGAGAGAAAAAAAAAGCGGCAAGTACTTTCGTAATTTAAGAGAGTGTTAATGAGTTGGTGCTAACCTTTCTCAGTTATCCATCATCCGGTAATGGAGGCAAGGATCCCTTTTCCAATCTGCTTCATTAAAAACTTTCTATTAAATCTAAATATGACGCCACGTACTGCTGAAATTAATAGAGTTTCTGAATGCCTAATTCATCCTTATGGTGCTAAAATCCTCCTTGAACATTTTAACCGCATTGATTTTATATGAATATTATTTAGGAAGACAGAGGTCCTTAAAAGCGTGTCTGAACAATAAAATGCTCAACCAGAATTACTTGAGACTGAAGTTGCATCATTAGCATTAAATTTATCATAGCTGCCGTATATTACAGTAGATTGTTTGGAACTTGGTCAGTTGATGTTTGAGCTTTATGGTTGAGGGGAAAAACAAACCAAAGTAAATTTTGAACCCTTGTTTGAGTGGTCTAATGGCCTGAGGTTACAGGGACACAGTATTCCTCTTTAATGCTACAAATCTGTTAAAGTGCAAAGTTTATGGGGCAGATAAGGAGCACTTTGGCATCGCGGGTTATGGTATTTACCATATTTTTATGAGTTTGAATACAGCACTTGACCCGAGGTACACATCTCTATCATCTCTCTCTCGTATCCTTTTTTCCTTTTTACAGTAACGTCAAATGAATCCAAAGACCCAAATTAAATTGGTAAAAAAACAATTGTATCTTAATGGTTCATTAGAAGAGGGTTTTTTTTGTTGTTGTTTTGTTTATTTCACTTGTCCAAATGACAACCTTTCATAAGTTATTTACCAGAGATGGGAAAAGTAAAAATAGCAATAGCACAATGTAAAAATACTTTATGCTAAATAAAGGTCCTGCATTCAACCTTTTATTTAATTAAAGGTATAGATGTATTATTAGGAAAACATAAAAATCTTTACAGTGCAGCAGAATGGCCCCTACCAATGTTATATTATCCAATATTATTTTAATATTAATATTGATGGTTTAATGCTTACAATTTTATTATGATACCTCTATTATTTTTTGTCTTTAAGTGTTATAGATAGAAGGGAGAGTATTTTAGAGGGAGTGAAAGGGGAAAATATAATTGCGGAATTGCACTTTGCTTATTCAATTCTCTTCCAGTAAAATATATTGCAAATAAGGCCAAAGTTGACGTTACTGCTTTTCTTTAAAAATGGAAAATACTGTTGATTTAGATTAGCTCGGGCTACCGTAAATGTATCACATTTTGACGTGATTTTCCATCTGAGAAAAAAAAAACAGACTTCAATCTTCCAGTCAGTCACGTTGCAGTAATATTTCAACTGACACACCCAACAGAAAACCTGTACTCAGCAGTGTTATTTGAATCACCAGTCAGCATCCAATATTTGTGCGTGTGAGAACATATGCTTAAAAGATATATCCTCGCCGTAATCTGCATTTACTCGAAAAAGCCCACGAGCAAATTATTCTTATCCTGAGTTAGAGAAGACTAGACAACATCTCCTGAAATCCAACAATGTGGGCGCTTTAAACAAGCAATAATAACCTTTGTCATAGATACTTCTCCCTTTTTTGCCACATCATATTTCCATTTCCCAATTTCCACCTATTTCCTTCAAATGGTTGTTGGCTTGAAAAAGGCCTTGGCTATATGTCCAAACCAGATGTGTGCAGTTGCTGTGTCAATCCAATACCCCCAAACTCCTCTTGGACGATATGGAAAAGTGCAGGAGGGCAAATGGTGAAGTCAGAGATTCCCCCCTCCTTTTCTTGTCATAAATCATGCTTGGCAGCACAGAATAAGCTACTTCTAGAGACATCGCTACTGGCACTATACCCATTGCCATTCATCACCTCCGAGGAACTACAAAAAGCTAAAATATATATATATATATATATATATATATATATATATATATATATATATAAAAATTCACCACGAGCTACCCATGTAACCTCTGGACCAACACCACCAACATTAGCAAAAGTGCATTCCTCTCCTGAAGACAAGGCAATGTTTGCCACCTGTACAATCATTCCTTTTTATTGCCAGTGTGGCCTTTTGGAGAATTTAACAGAGCTAATTGCTCTTCATTTACTCGCAGGGATGGATATAATCTAATGAGGCATTTGAGATGGAAAATGTGACTTTCTCATATGGAAAGACTTTTCAAAAAGTAAATCTCTTCATGAGTGTCGAATGCAAAATTAAAGACACTTTTTCTCTGTTTTTTTTCTTCACTCTTTTGGTCATTTTAACAACTACTGCTGACAGCCTGTAAAATCAAATCCCAAGCCGTCCGTTAGTTTCAGAACTGTTGCTCCAGTTTTCTGTATCTTTTCCTTTTTTTTTCTCCACTAACCTTTTTTAAAACCCAATTCAGAGACATTTTATGGACTTTTATTGTACTTTTCGCTCTGGTATGCACACTGCAAAACAGGATATACCCACATGGGAGAGACACACACAAGAAATGATGTACCAGACTCCCACTACATGAACTAACCTTTAGCCTGCACCTTAAAATGACTGCTGTTTTTCATTTCCCTCGAAGAGATCTGACGGGCATGGCAGTAATGGCGCTGATGAATGCCAGAATAAACAGACGGTGGGCGACAAGACAAAGACGAAGATGAATGTGTCTGAAAGGTAGGATTCTTGGCAGTTCTGAATTCAGCAAAAAAAAAACCTGGATTTCATTTTTGGAATTCATCTGTTTGCAAAGGAAAGACTTCCAAACGTGCACTTTTACGTGCTTTGTACATAGAGGTTTTGGCCATGGACCACAACAAATTAGCCAAATTGGTCATGGACAGACTCTCTATTTGAGCATGCATTTGTTTGTCATGATTCTCCTGCCAGCTTCACTATGCCACAGCTTTGGTCACAAAGGAGGATGAAGGTAAAAAGGCATCCATTTGTCCAAGTACGCTAATGAATAATTGTATTTCATTCTGTGTGTCAAGAGGTCTGCTGATTGTAAAGTTAAAATAAATGTTTTGGATAACATAATTGTACCTGTAATGCCTGATCAGTGGATTATTCCAAATTAGTTCAATATACTGTATACAATTATCTCATCAGTCAGAGAAAAAAGCACTGACATTTACTTAAATCGATTTAGATCTGGGAGGCCTCCTCACTGGTTTCCCTCTTGGCCTCTGTCTCTGCATCCCGCTGCCATATGCTGCCACCCCGTCCAGATACTCGGCAGCAGACAGTGGCTGCCCTGTGCGCTGTGGCAGACACACAAAGTCCATATACTTATTTGAAAGTGTTTTTCCTGGAGCTCAGTACTGTAAATTAGCCCGGCTATCAATCTAGTGCTGAGCTTAGCAAGCTAGATTGGACGATTATTTATTACCCACAGTATTTATGTAAAATATTTACAGGAGTGCACATGAGCAAAAAGTATGATCTGTCAGTCGGGTATTGATGACTAAACTCAACTTGGAGCAAGGGAGCCCATAACCGAAAGAGTGACAGCTACCTTTCATCTTATCACACCGTGGATGTTTCTATATATTATAGCGAGTTTAAAAAACGATAAGCCGTGTTGCTTCTGAATGCGCACATTTGCTCTCAGATTTGCTCATTTTGAAGTCACTGAATTCAGTCAAACTAACTGGAGGCTGCCCATTAGCTTCATAGCATTATTTAGCACTTATTTATGTATAAGCAATAAATGGCTAACAACACACTATAATGCAGTTGTAAGCAGGTATAAGTAGATTTGTTTGCATTTGTTATTGTATTAGTCTAGAATCACAACTCCTCATATGAAGCATACGCATATGAATAGTTAACTGATGAATAATAGCGGTATAATCAGTAGCTGTAATACAGAAATGAGCAAATTCTTACACATGAATACATGTTGAGTTTCAAGGTTTTGGAAATCAAACAAAAAACAAATCCTAACTCAATGTCCACTTACTAGATTTCTTCCTGAGCTTTTAGCTGCACCTGCATGTTAAGCAAGTTAAGTTAATTAAATACTTAATTAATAAATATAATTATAATATGCACTTAAAGGTCCAGTGTGTAACATTTAGGAGGATCTATTGCCAGAATAAAACATTCATTGATATATTTTCATTAGTGTATAATCACCTGAATAGTTGCATTTTATTACCGTAGAATGAGATGTTTTTATTTACAGACACCACAGGTCTCCTTCCATATGTTTTCTGTGAGTTTCACAGCCACCGTAGTTTCTCCTACACACTTCACAGCCCATGTTCAGGTATTTGCACTCTGCAACTTCTGCGCTAGATGCCACTAAATATAACACACCGCTCCTTTAATCATTTATGATTAATAAACACAATGAATGTATGCATTCATTAAACATGATAGTAATAAGTGGACAATTAAACAGAATTATTGGAGTTATAGACTTGTTGTTGAAAAATACACGAATACACATTTAAAACTGTCCTTTTATCTGCTTTAAACTACATTATTTGTTCTAACCATCATTGGCCCTATACTTTCAAACAGGTGATATTATTGTAATAATAATATATATGATCTGTAGTACTGGAATCAGAGGTCATAAATGAGCTTGGGACAGAGAGTCACATACACAACCCCCCCACTATCACGCCTAAAGGGGCAGTTGTATTGGTTGCCATAATGCCATATTTCCCAACATCCCTGCTTGTCCTCCAGCCCCCAGGGAGACCAGAGAACAACAAAAATGGTAATTTACAGACAGGAAGTGGAGTGCCATAGCACTACTGAAAGAATTCAAACAGAGAGTTTAGCTCTAATGTATATTACATCCACCATTGTTGGGCAATGTAAACAAATATTAATAAAGATGAGCGCACTGAGTTTTGATATATTATTTTAGTATTAGGGTTAGGGTGGTTTAAACTATTAGAGTTTATAGGAATAGTCGTTTGATGTGCTAGAAATGCCAAAGCATTCCTTTAAGGTCTTTTTAGAGAGTGTGCTACAAAAATGGCAGAATATATGTACTTAGTGTTCCATTTTTTACTGCAAAAGAGTAATTTGCAGCTCATTCATGAATGTTTCCTTAAAATTGTCCTTCACACGTCTTCCCAAGATAATTCACCTGTGGCTCATAGAACCAAAAAAATCAGATTCCTCCCGGATACTTGACCTTACCGAGGACTTCCACTTTAATTTGCATTAAAAATGTGAAATATAGATGGATTTACAATGACAAATGTTCTTGGATTGGTTTCTGCAGAGCAATATGAAAATTTACAGTTGGCATTAATATTAATGCATCATTATCAGCTGTCTGATTTCATAAATAAGTACAGCAGTGTCAGGTCTGGTATAGATCACTTGGATGGGGCACACTTTGCAAAACCACACTTTGTGAATTTAATTGGTAAAATTGCAAATCAGGTAGTCAGCCGTATAACTCATTGTCACATTTAATCAATAAACTTTGTAAATCAACTCATTTAATTTATAAATGATCTTATATAGATCAGGCAACCAATTAAACAATTAGCATACATTTAGCAATTAATTAATTTAACCATTAATCATGGCAGTACAGTTCAAATTTTAAGCCAGCAAATTTGGGAGCAGACGTGCAGGCTGGCGTTGGAGCAGTACATCATGCCTGGGGAGTGCAGATTGTGACACAGCTAGATTTACTGTGCTAAAAATCAATGCAATTAGGAGAGAGGCTGGAAGCTGGCCTGGGGTCCAGCATGGTCTTTAGGAAATTTTTGACACACACACAGACACACACACGCTCAGAAACTTTTTTCTTTTTTGTAATTTGGGACATACTAAGGTCGTCATTAGCAGCAGTGATACTGAATGTCCAGCAAGTACTCAGCAAAATATCTGAAGCGCTGCTTCCTTAAAGGTGCAACGTGCTGCGTTTTTAAACATCAATATGTCATTGTCAAATTAATTGTGACACCTTGGTATAATTACCACAAACAAATGAGACAACGGTCCAGATGATTGGTTGCCCCTGTCTCACACCACCTTTATTGATGTTAGCGTTTATCAAAATTAAGACCCCATTCCCCATAAACCCCTTTCCTTATGATACCTCTGCTGTGGTTCAAGGTTTACATCTTGCTATCAGCATTTTACTCTGTCCAGCTTCTGCTGCACGAAAATCTACCTCATCTAGTTTGGAATTGCAAAGGACACTGGGAAAGGAACTCAGGTTTTCCTTTTGAAGACATTTAAGATATTTCATATTGTGCAGTGCCGGACACACCTCCCCAATATTCAAATATGCCCGGGATGCTCCAGTATTACAGTTTATTGTAGTTCTGCGTGTGGTTTGTCTAAGTGGTGTTGTCGTACAACAGCAGAAGCCGGTACTCGACTGCTGTGAGTAGGATCAATCAGTGTCAAACACCGTACTGTCATTACTCTACTCATGTACTAAAAAGTGGAAAACTATGATGTAAGAGTGTGACGTAGGGTATATCATTGTAAGAGTCTAATCTTGATGTACAGACTCCTGTTGGGCTCCAAAATGAAGTTTATCCCATGTGTTAGGGAATTTTTGAATCTATATGGCAGGAAATAAGTTTTTAAACTTTGAATACAGTTTTACCTACTTGGGAGCTCAAAACTCAACATTTACATTTTAAGAGTTGTTAGCAATGAATTGCCTGGCCAACAATGGCTCTTCATATTACCCTTAATACTCCCTCAGTCCAACAATGGCTCCTTTTTGCTCTGTTTTGGTCTCCATCAACTGAGAAAAAAAATATGTACATATTTAGCTGCTAAATGATTTACTACATTCACCATGGTGGTTGCAAACTTTACCTGCCAGCTGTTTGGTGCTGGGCAGCTGGAGTACAGCTACCTACTGGCTGGAAACGAGGTCAATGATAGCAGTGAGAGTCAACCAAAAGAGGAAAAAACAATGCGCTTGAGCCACGTTCAAATACTCCATAGCGCTGGGAGGAACTCAGAGTTTAGTGATAATTTTCTGTGGCCACTTTCACATCACACTGCATTCGATCCACTGTTATTATTTTAAAAGAAATGCATGCAGCTTTAAGAATCAGCATTAGCATTAGCAACAGAGTGCATCACATATGTTTTTGATATATTTATTCCAGAACGTTCCCGAGCAGTGGCCTCACCTCCACACTGCAGCAGAGTGAAAGGTGAGTTCAGGTTTGAGATGTTGTGGAAAGCTGCCCTCAAACACAGGATGCAGGCAGGGTTGAAGAACTGTCCGGGCCTTGGATTGCTGATTGTCTCATCTGTCTTGGCTAAGTCAGCAGGATGTGACAGCCGCCCTCTCTCTGTTACCCGCTGACCACTGGGCTTGGCATCCTCTCCGCTCACCTGCCCTATCACCGCCTCCACCGTATCTCTATCCTCGCCTCACTCTCACCTCAAAGTCTTTGCAGCAAGAATGAGGATCAACGCCTTGGTGTCAAAGAGGAGAGATGTAAGCTAACAATTTCTGACTGCGGACTTACAAGTGTCGGTTCCGGGTGATGACTTCGGTTTGTTGGTTTTTGATAATTCTCCCAGTCTGACAAAGTGACGAACCTTCACTTTAAACGTAAGTGACTAGAGAATGCAGTTTTTTCTGGAAGTAATAGTTTTGGGAGTTTAGTTTTTTTTTTTTTTTTTTTTTATGATTGCATGCTTTGCATTAGCCGTGCAGTGTAAAATAGTGCAATATTTTGGAACTAGCCAGACAACTTCTATCCATTGAGTTTTGCTGAAAACGTGTATGTAAATATGTAAGAAGGAGAGAATCCCTCTTCGTCTGAGCTGCAAATCATCATTGTCACAGTGACTGTCTTTCAGGTTGCTCAGTTCACTGTGTCATCATGTCTCTATGCCTGTCACTCCTAGAGGAACTGTACATCATGCCTGCCTGTGCTACTGCTCTCTTTTTTTGTCAATGCAGGATGTCAAAATAATATTATTGTGTGTCATGTATGATTACTGTGCCACAAGAAATATAATTTTAGGTAGGTTTACCTTGTCAGACGCCCGTATGCATCAGCTAAGATTGCATTATGTGTTTGATTTTATCTGCATGTGGTCTATCGAATCTGACAAAAGTATACATCCACATACACCTGCAGTTTATTTCTAGTTTGGCAGTACGGCACCAAGATATTGTGCTTATAAGCAAAATAATATACTGAGCAACATAAAAGTTGCAAATTGTCTTTGAAAACCGAATTCAAAGGGAGTTTTGATATTTCACATCTTAAGATCTCAAGATTTTTTTTCTGTGTGTATTTCATTACAGCTCCTTTCTACTCACTGCTCACCACAGTCCTGATCCCAGTCTTGAAGCGGCGACAAAAGCCGGCTCGTCAGGGATAACAGATGAGCGCAGATGAACAGTGTCAGGTAAAGTGCTGTGAAAGACATTTAATGTGTTTTATATCAGTGTGTCTGAATTGTCCAGGAACACTTGAATCACTCAGTGTCAACCAAATACGGCGTAATGAGACTCGCCTCCTCTCATCTGAAGACACATGTCTCTCTGCTGTCACTCAGGCTAACGGAAGAAAAAAGGGCTTTTCGAGCCTTTTGAAGCACACGGGCTATATGATAGCACTCCACTTTGCATCAGGAATTGCTCATGCGGGATTATTTCATTACGAGTCTCCCAGAGAGAGGACAGAGGTCACACTCTGGAGCTCATTCGAACATCTGGAGTCCAGGAACATAAATTATTAAATGAGGCAGCAATCTGGATTGAGACACCTAACTGTTTTTCATGGTGCACTTGAAGGTATTCGATTTCCGAAGGCTGAAAAACATTAAATGTCTCGACATTTTTTTCACTTTTTATGTCTACTAAGCTTGAGCTGTTGTGAGCAGTAGATTAGTCTTGGCCATGAAACGCTCCCTTAAGTCCCCCTGCCTGTGGTTTTGCTGTTCTTCTTCCAATGCTATAACACAGCCCGGCCTGACAGCGGAAGGTCTGCTAAGGATTTTTTTCCAATGGGATGTTTCTTGGTGTCTATTTGGAAAACTCAAAGTTTCCTCCATTGTTGCCAACAGAAACCATTGCTACAGGCAAGGTCCAGCGGTGTCACTGACTATAAAGGAGGAGCTGGATGGGTGACATTTAGTTGTTCTTACCAAGGCTGCGATGGGGGTAAGGAGGTTGAGGGTGGGAGGAGTGTAGCCGAGGATCCTAGCCTCCTTTCGGTTGTCACAACTGGAAAAGAATCGACTTTGAGCGGAGAGAGAGATCTCTAATTATCCCCACCTGTGCCCGGCTACAATGGGAGGGTCGAGATGAAGCCATTAGCTGTCTCTCCACTGGCACCACCAAGAGTTTGTATACATCTGTGTCTTATTTTCTTTTCTGGCACAATCAGTCCAGCAAGCTAAGCAGGCATGACCGGATTTGGCAAGTTCCAAGGACTTTGGCAAAGTTAGACAAGGAGGAAGCGGTGAGATGTAGAGAGGGGGATGAGCTGGCATGGACTCTGTGTTTGCTTTCTCCCCCGCCTGTTAACTTGAGCTGGGTGTGTTGCTTGGAGAGGCTGCTGTGTTGGTCAAAACAATCCACGGGTTCGCTGAAGGAGACGGACGCAGAGAAAGTTGCAGAGAGCGGGGTGAAAACGTGATTAAATGAGGTCAACATTACACGTGTGACTGTGGAGCTGTTTGTATAATTCTGGTAACAGGCAGCACAGTCTTTCCACTTTCCAGTTTATCTCTGTTGTACTGGTGCTGTTCAAGATTATTGGGATACTTAAGCTCATCTCCCATTTGACTCATAGTGCTTGATAGAAAAAGGCTCATTGTATTTTCAGTATTGTCAGTTTTGATTAGCTGAGTCAAGCCTTTGTCTGGCCATGCAAGTGTGCATGTTGTCAAAGCTATTTACGAGCAATGACCAGATATGAAGCCCAGACTATTGCGGCCATGTAAACAGCCACATCTGTTTGAACCCACCTGCTCCCCAGTGTTTACTGGCCCTGTAAATAATGAAATAAGTCCAGCATATTACTATTACTGCATAAGAAATATTGCAGCAGCATGGACTTTGCATTAAATGACACTATAATTAATCAACATTATGAAACAAAACATTGCATAAAGTAATCCAAAAAGTGTATGCAGCCCGCACTATATGGCCACGTCTACAGACCTATTTTTTTTCACAGGTGCAGCTTTGCACATTCATTCATTCAGCCTCTCATTCATTCATTTCCGTCTTTATTTATTTATATATCTCCTTGAGTGTTTGTTTTCATTTTAGTCCCTTGAACCTTGCCACCCTGTGTGTGACACCCGGGCTATGAGGGAAGACGGAGAGGCGGGCTGGTTCAGAATGATCACTATCATTAACATTCACGGGGGGTTCACTTATCATCCCTGACTGGAGGGACATGGCAGCCATTATGAGACGTCCGCAGGTGGAGCGCCATGATACATATTGCATCTTGCCACAATGGATTTATGTATTCAGTAACAAAAGAAAAGTCTAATGAAAAAATACAGAAGGCAATCCTTTATTCCTCGCTCGACTTCAAGTGAGGCCACCATGTCCTGCGATGAGGAGGAGCGCGGGGGAATTCCAGGGCTGTATGCTGACCTGTCACTCAGGCTGCGTGCGAGGGGCACACACTCTATACCTCACATTAGCCCCATTGTTTATTGGCAACACACTGGTGCTCTTAACCCTCAGAACAAGGACATGGATAGACTACAGTGTTATATTTTTCTTATTTTTATTCTTTTAACATATTTCATTGTTGTCTGCGTGTCCAAAGCCTGATATATCTTATTCCTCTGTGCCACAGAGTTTATTCTTGTTGTCCACAAACTATTTAAAAAACATAATCGAGCCGCATCTTTGCACTAGGTGAAATTGTTCCTTTATTACCATGAACACAAACATTGTAGTTTATTTTGAGGCAATCCCGCAGAAATGCCATAAATACCCGCTAGTGCGTATTAATCCACAGCTGAAAATAGTCCCTGACAAATGCACTATTTATCCTGTTTGAATAATGTTTGCTAAAAACTACAGTACCCAGCTGTTTTAGGAATTTACTGAGCCTTTTTAAAAAATGAAAGCATATTATTTGTGACCCATTTTTATGAAGATTTGCATCTTTAGTGGGAAACAGTGGGGTGTGGGCTTAGTGGTTTTGGCGTTAGTTTTGGTCTTTTAATGGGATTTATTAAAAAATATAATATAATGCTAGCCTTAAACTTTAAGAAAAGAGTTTATTCATAACATGTCCTTAAATAAATGTAATTTTTTTGGTCACCAATAAAACTTTGCATGCCAATATACCCTTTTTAAAGTTTCGGAAAGATTGTGGTTATGGCAAATTAACTATTAACCTCCTATAGGGATACTGGGCTGGGGAAAAGCCATCACAGCACTATGAACATTGTTTCATTGACAGGTGAGCTTTGGAAACTGAGGAAACTGGAAACCTTTACTTTAATATTGGAGAATAATCACTTATACACAGCATAAGGAAGCGCATACTTTGATTCCAAACTAAAATAAACGACAATAAACATGAGCTATTCCCTGACAGATCTCCTTATGTGATTAAAGACACAATTTCTATTCTGAAATTTCCTTGAGTAGAAGGGCTCCCAGACCAGTAATAACCTAATTGGAGAGAAGCCTCTAACTAGTGTTGCTCCTCTGTGTCCCTGTGTATAAATAGAGTCTATAATGGACTGAGGTGTGATGCCATCATTCATCTCTGCTCAGAAACACTCCAGGTTCAGGTCTATGCTCATTTTCCTAATGATGCTCTTGTTTTAGGTATGTTTTCACTTTAAGGTTTCTAAGATTCCAGCTTAATGGATACTATTCATCACAGGCTTCTGTACCCAAGTCCAGTTTACCCAGCAAACTTATTTGACATAACAAATTGCCAAAATGAAAGGCTTTTCAGCCAGGGAATTGGTATATTTTTCAAACCAATAAGTAAATGTGTGGGGGAAAAGAGCACATCCCAGTCTCGGAGGTCAGTCTCCATTTCCTGTTTACTGTGAGTGTTTTCTCTCCTGTGGTTCCATGATGATTGCATCACTGACAAATGAATCTATTGTTTGCTAATTTACTTAACATGCCTATGTAAAGTGCTTTTTAATTTTAAATGTTAATTGACTAAAAGAGGCTTTCAGTGCCAAATTCCACTGGCACCGAATAATGGGAGGTCTCCTAAAAAAATTATGTCTTCTGGGAGGCATATCCCATATGATAGCCCCCGGTTATGCCATGTCTTTATGTGGTAGATTACTCCCTGGCCCTAGCCCAAAAAAGCCTGCTTTTTAACCACTGCTTCTCCCATTTGCCTCAGGATGCTCATGGGCTGGCAGGTTGCACAACACATTACCATCCTGCAGCAGCTCTTAAAACACATTTTAGCCCTGAAACACAGCTGGCATCTTGGCCAGCACTGCTGCGTTGGGCACGGAAGAACCAAACGTGGATGTTAGAGAGAAATTAAAATGGAACCCAGTTGGAATAATGAGAGTGGATCTATGTTGCGGTGTAGGTGCACTTTTCATTTCCAACACATCTCCTGTTTGAACCAACAACTCTTTGCAAGGGCAGGCTTTGATTATTGCAAACTAATTTGAAAGACATTATATATATATATATATATATATATATATATGTATATATGAAAGAGGGAGTTCACTGTAATGCAGTGTGTGAGAGAGTGCTCACATGCATGGCTGCCCCTGTGTGCACGAGTGTGTACTAGCTCACGCCAAATTCAGGGTCTATGTGTAGAGTTATGTGTTGCTAAACATCACTAAGATCCAACAGCCCAGTGTGATGCCTTTGGTTTCCAATCTCATGCTTCACGCCTGCTGCCCCTCTATCATGGATTCTTATTTACAGGCAGGACCCTCACTGAATTCCCTGAGGAGCAGATGATGTGCAGGTCTAGGTAGAGACCATATCCCATGAATACTGTCCCTATCACTATGAATACTATTCAAGAGTTCCAGTAACTGATCCACTATGTGCAGGGCAATGGATGCTGTCAACTTAACAACCTTTTTACTTCAGAATTAGGTTATCTCACCCCTGAGTAGATGTGTATTGTCTGTCTCAGGATCCACAGTGAGCTAAAACCCTGAAGATTATTAATCTTTGTGATATAAATGAACTAATGGCATTGACTGATTCTTTTTCTATATCCTGGAGCTGCTGTGGTTTTATTTAACAGAGCGTAGAACTCTGCTCCACATTCCCTCTTTTTAAATGCATCATAAATTATGTCCTATCTTTAAACATGCCCAAAATGAAATGTGCAGGAGGAGGAGACAGTAAATATGAGCTGTCCGGTGCTCTTCTTGTCCATGTCATCAAGATGAGTGCATCCGAAAAGCACCATGGAAAGTTAATTGGGGATTTCTGGCCCAGAAACACAATCCACCATAAATATTTTTTATTTATTTATTGTTTTTAATGATTGCATAGCTCGTGTTCTCGAGACAAAGATAGATTAATGCTAAGAAGTTCATGCACAGGCGCTCAAACACAAAATAATGATTTTGACATGGCTAAATAAGTCACTTGTCATCCTTCACCATAAAAACAGACGTTGATTTTTCTCTGCTAGCAGAAACCATAAAGGTAGATGTATTATCTTACAAATAATATATTATGATAATACATTATGAGCTCATTTTGATTAGTCACTATGGATGCATGATGTAGCTCCCCATAAAAAACATACTTGATAATATTGTGTATTTAATATTTACAGTACTTTCTTAATAATAACAAGTTTATGTTCTAAAAGGATACATTGTATCTGACTACTCTAAAGAATACTTGACACGCAAATCCTCCATTAACACTGATATTTTAAAAGAAAAGAATATTCTGGGAGGGTAAAACATCTAACTAATAGTGATAAAATTATTGTTACTTTTACTTTTTCAGTTCAGATATGAGAAAAGAAGCTTAGTCTGGTTGTTGGAAAGACATACTGTATGCAGTAATTCTCCGTTATGAGATTACAGATTATAAAAAAAGGCTGCTGTGAGTGGCACTGCACTGATTTAAAGGAGATGCATACTGAAGAACTTCTGCAATGGCAAACATTGTTTTCAGTATTCAGATGAATGTCGGAAGTTTGTTGAAGTAACCTGATGTGGTGGGCTGAAGGTGGATATCCCACAATGCTGCAGCCCGCCACCTCCCATTGTCTTGATAGGGAAGCAAGAGATGTACAGCGGCCTCAAATGGAGGTGGCATCTGGTGCCCAATTTGTCATGCCTGAATTACCCAGGAGCTGATAAAGGCTGAAGTTTTAATAAAAGTTGGGAGCAGCAGATAGCTGGGTGAAGGACACTGATGAAGTGTCTTGGGGCCTATTTCCAGCTAGAGATAAGAACCTACAGAGAGAGGTGGGTCGAGGGTCTAGCGCAGTGTGATAATACGCTGATGCTGAGGAAAAAATAAAAAGTGCTGTTGAAATGCAACACAGCACACATAATGGAAAAAATAATAAATAAGCAAATAAATAATGATGATGATCTAAACGAGGAGAAGCCAGGGTGGAGGCTGTGGAGTCCTGAAGCGTCTCTGCCTGTAATTTGGCCACCCGCCAGCAGCCATTGCTCACCCTCAGCTGCGACGGCAAGCTCCAGATGTGCCAACGGCACGTTTTGGATTTTGCCAGCTGACTGCACCGTTTGATAGCCCGCTCTCTGGATGCCCATCACCGGCCGCAGAGATAGAATTAAATGATGATGATCTTCCCACAAGTTGGGTGAGGAAACAACGCATATAAATCTTGATTTCATCTCAGCGTGAGAAGTCTTTATCCATCATCACTCTTAATGAACAAGTCATTAGCCGCGATGAATGGCGCTCTGGGCTCCTGCTCGCCACTGCTGCTTTTGTTTGCAGCTTTCAGGGGCAACTTCCTGTGCCCTTTGAGAGGGTCAAACTCATTTCTCCAGATGTGGGGTAACCTCTCTGCTCCTGGGGTGGCTGCACACCCATGTACTAAACAGGGCCTGGAAAAATGAGGATATACTGGGGGGTTTTCTGTTTTTGCCACATTGTTTGTTCCTCAGCAAGTGTCTGCATGCCCGATCATCCAGAGAACATTAGCAAACTCGGTGGCCGCCTATTATTGTAATTGTATGTGCACAATCCTCCACTTGATGCAAGCTGGCTATGTAAACAGAAAAGGGCTTTTTGTTGTACTGTAATAGAAAACTACTGAGGAGATGTAAAATCATGCTGTGCTCTACAGCTACACTGTAATACAAATATACACCATCAACACTGTGACTACACTGCCTTTTTTTCTGCATCTGAAAACTTGATCAGTCTTTTATCTGCGTTCATAATGTTTGAAATGAATGACCTGTTTGATTTCTTCAAGACAAACATTTCCTGGGAGCCTTTTGTTATTATTTACAGTCATTGTTGGGCTAAAAGCATTGTTGAAGAATTCTACAGTGTGCACCATATACCCCGAGGCTAGCAGAATCTAAAAGACCTACATAAAAGTTGGATAAAACTGTTGTGATCTTCTCCTCCTTCTCCTCTGAAGTACAACAGTGCTTGAAATATGAAAAAAGGAAGGCATCAATCCCGCTGCACGGCAGTAAATGTGAAGAGATAAAGGTTGACACGAGATAATTGAAAATATCTGGCACTAATACACCAGAGTCTGTGTTTGTATTTGAACATAAAGGAGAAGAGTGGCATGTGACTTTCCTTGTTAGTGACAGCTGCCATGTTCCCCAGTCTGCAGGGACGTACTGTACTGGAGGATTCATCTGACTTGTACAGTATGTCTGAAGTTTCTCAAATCCCCCGAGACACATCTTTACATGTTTGATGATTTTCCTGAAGAGAGGTTCCAGTTAAATCTTTTCAGAAGTTTTTGCGCCTTGAAATCCCTGAACGTTTAAGTCCCGGAAATAACAGAGAGACCAAACACAGAGTGATAGTGAATTTGTAGAAGCTACTGTTTTACCCATGGGATTATTTCTGCTCTTTTAAGACAACGTTATGATTTCATTTTCTAATAGCAGTGCATCCAATGAGCAATGCTACCACTACACTGGGGTTTTCTAGTGATCAGTCTAATGCTTCAGTTGATGAAATAGAAATTTACTGATGTTGTGGATACGCACCATATTTATCTGTGTTTCCAGTTTCAACACGCGCTCAGTATAGGTGCAGAAGTGAAATACCCATTACTGCATGTGTCAGTGTCATAAACAATAGCGTCGACTCCTCGGAAGGAGGCAGGGCGGTAATGGAGGCAGTGCATCAATGTTCAGCACAAGGTCTGCAATTCACACCAGGAGAACACTCACCTGAGCATCAGGAATGCTGCTAGGAGACGGCATTACCAGGAGCAGATGTGTAGAGGAGGACCGGCTTTTAAAACGAGCTCTGTACGCATGACTTAAAGGGTCAATTCACTCAAATCACAAAAAAAAAAATCACATATTTTCTCAATTACCTTGAGTGGAATCCAGCCATGTAGATACTGTCAGTTGCATTAGCTGAGGTTTTGAGATAACTGCCGCAGAGTCTTCTCCCACCACATCAATATAATGGAAGTAAATGGAATATCATTTGTGGGGCTCCAACTGAAAAAATGACATATGAAAAACTTGACAGCGATGTCTTGTCTCCAGAAATGCCTCACTGTGAACTGTATTCTTTTTAACCTTCAGTATAAAATACTTTATAACAAAATCGAAGGAGTCAGAATTAAAAGTAGAGTTAAAATTAAATGTGAGCTGTTGTGTCAAACGATGTATGTCTCAGGTTAACCTCAGACACAGGTCAGTACAACCAAAACCAACCAGAAATCTGCATGGTTAGATGGGTAAACTGAACCTTTTTATTAAAAGAAATATTAAAGATCCCCTTTGATACATGTATTAAGACATGTAGTCTGTTTGGAACAATAACATGTGTCTGATATGTTTTTCTTTTGACAAAAAAGGTATAATTTCCATATTAAAATCATTTACTCCTACCTCATTAAAACTTGCACTGTAAAGTCCATTCTCAGTGTATGTGCACTGGTCAAGTTTCTATATCGCACTTGTATAAGTTGCATACTGGACCAAGAAGAAGAAGGAGTAGAAAACATTTTCTTCGAGTGGAGGAGGGATTTTAAATGTGTATTAAAGGTGTGTCTTGTAAACAAACAAAGTCACATTTAAATGAAGTGTTTCTTGCCAAAATCCACTGAGGCCTAACAAGAACTGAATGCATTTTCCAGCCGACTGTTGGTGTATGAAACTGTCTGCGTGAGTGTGTATACAGTAGCATTGCTGTGTGCATGTGATACAAACAGAGCAAGGGGTACCTTTAACAATGTATTCACAATGAGGTCAGTACCTGTGATTATTGTCAAAAATTGTTTCTGTTATTTTAAATTAAACTTTTGATTCACTAAAATGTAACTTTCATTGATTTCTTAAACAAATCACACTTACATATTTTTAACATCCCACCTCTGACATCAGTAAATAGTTATAGCAACTCAGCATCTGTGCAGTACACGTGAACAGTCCTAAACTAACAAATGAGCCAAAAGAAAAGT